GTCCTCAGCTTCAACCTTATCTTGTCTTTGGAGATGTTACAGTGTCACAGACCTCTGAAGGTCTGTACTGGGATTGCTGGTGTGAAGAGTTACATTTTCTGCATGCCAGCCACTGGCTCTTATGGTAAGTCACAAAGGGGGACACACTCACAAGTAAATATAGAAAAGCCACCAGAGTAACTCTAAAGCCTGCTCAGTGCCACTTCAAAGTGGTCTTAGTGTCCCCCCACACAGTGTAACATCATGTGACAGGGTCTGGGACACTGTTTCTCTTGCTATGCTACATGCTGATAGTCTCTGGGTTTCCCCAGGTGTCCTTCTATCTGCTGTTGAATTTCAGTGCTGTCTCATAGCTGTCCTCCTCCGTGTGTCACTACATACCTGCTACTTTTGCTTTGGTTCTGTCCTATTGTTGTGGTTTGTGTCTAGATGCGCCCCTCCAAAGCCTCATGTCATCATAAATGGGGCTTTTTCAGAGGTAGCTGGATCCAGAGTATGCAACCTGGGATTCAAGCAGTAAGCACTACACTCAACTGAGGACATGTAGATGGCAGAAAATATAAGGGGCTGAAAGAGGGCCACTATGTTCTCACTTGCCGTTTATCAGGGGCTATTTTTTCTCTGTGATGCCCCTCTGCCATGCCACCCTGCCTTTGCTGTGACCATCATTGGCTCTTGATGTTCCCAGGGGAAGGACCAAGACAGGACAGGAAAATAAAGATGAAAACTAATGTCAGGAGGTGCCTTCTCCCTCCCAATGTGAGGAAAGGAGCTACTCCCCTAAAGGAATGTGTTTATTTATACATTCAGCAACTTAATATCACATGACACCCAGTTGCCTAGTAATCTGGGTGTATGGCAACCTAAGGGGTTGATTTTTGGGCCTGAAGTCACTTGTTTCTGTGGCTCTCCCTGGGAGGTCTCTGCTCTCAGACCTGGATTGTCTTTACCCCACAGGTGTGGCCAAATTTCAGCTTCAGCTACTTCCAACCTGCTTTGAAGCCAGCTGATTATGGACTGAAACATCTACAAACTGTAAGCCAAATAAACCTTTCAACTTCAACTTTGCGTATCAGGTATTTTGTCTCAGCAATGAGAAAAGTAAGTAAGACACATGTGAAGGAGCAAGCAAGTGCTGAGGCCTTTATTCTACTGTCTTTCCAAATGCTTTCCAATAGATGAATGAAAAAACTAAATGTGGTGCATTCATACAATGAAATATTATTCACACATATAAAGAAATAAAGGCCTCGTGCATGTTACAACATGCATGAAATTCAAAGTCATTATGGTAACTGAAATAAGCCAGTCACCGATGACACAAGTTATGTATATATGATTCTACTTATATAAATACCTATTTTACAGGACATAATGTCGATAAGTGGTTACTGTGGACTGGGCAAAAGAAAGGGATTTAGTTTGACTCCTTACTGGGTATGGGATCTGAAACTGGAATATTGCAGAGTTTCAGGAACTGGTTGGTGGTGATGGATGCACATTGATGTGAATGAACTTAATGCTGATAATTACACATTTTAAAGGTATTAAAATGGCATGTATCATGTTATGTCTCTATAACTGCAATAAAAAATCAGCAAAGAATGTGGACAGACTGTTCTCCACAGATGACCAACAAGAAAACCTGACCAGTATCATTAGTCATTAGGGAAATAAAAATCAAAAGCACCATTAGCTGCTACTTGTCTTCTGCTAGGAGGTTTATAATAAAAAAGAAAACAAAGAAGAGCAAGTGTTTATCCTAATATTGATAGAGTTATTTCCAAAAGATGAAAAATATTAACAAAAGATGAGAAATATAAAATAAAAAGCGGCCTTTATTCTGAGAACACGGAGAGAGATGACCGGCAACCCCCACCGCTGGCGTCCGGCGATCTCTCCGGCGGACACGCAGCGTGGGGGCCTGTAAATAGCCTCGGTTTGGGGTGGAACCTAAGGCGGGCATTAGGGATACACAGGTAGCCCATTGGTCCTAGGTTTGGCGCCATATGTAAATTCCCAGGGGCGGGAAGATGGCGTCACAGGTAACTTCCTAGGGGCAGGGCAAGATGGGGCTTCCTGCTTCCGGTTGTGGCTTTCCTGGCTACAGTGTCCTGTCTGGGCCAAACCTTTCAAATATATCGTGAGAAGGAAGGACTGGTAAACAGCATAGCTAATTTGGCAACCCTCTGGCTTTTCCTCAAAAAGTTAAACATTGTTAATATTATCCCAGCAATTCCACTGCTAGATCTACCCCCAAAAGAAAATAAAGATAAATTCTTCTTAGACAACATCTCATTATGTGGTGCAAGCTGACCTTGAACTCACTTATACAGCCCAGGCTGGCCTCAAAGTGATGGTGATCCTCCTGGCTCAGCCTCTCAAATGCTGCGATTACAGGCATGTGCCACCATGCCCAGTGAAAACTAAAAATTTGTACACAAATGTGAATAGAAGTGTTATTCCTAGTTGCCAGATAGTGAAACTACTGAAGTGTCTATCAACTGGTCAGTGGATGAATAAAATTTATTCCCTCCATAAAACAGATTATCAGTCAGCTTTAAAAATGAAACATATAGGGTCTGGGGATTTAGCTCAACAGCATAAGTGCCTGCCTTGCAAGCACATGGGTGTGAGTTTGATCCCTAGTACAAGAAAATAAAAGAAAAGAAACGAAAACAAAGAATTCATTACTGAGTCAGGTATCATGGTAGATGCCTAGAATCTCAATTATTGGACTGGGGATTTAGCACAATAGAGTAAGTGTCTGCCTGGCAAATGCAAGGTCATGAGTTTGATCCCTGGTAGCAATGGTATATATACCATGATATATATATATATATATATATATATATATATATATATATGACTATCAATTATTTGGGAGGCTGAGGACAGAGAATCACAAATCTGAGGCAGCAGAGTGGGACTTTGTCTCAAAACATAAAGTACACTAGTGTTTGCCTGAGACCAGGTAAGACGACTGGAGGGTTGGCGTAGGACATAGTATTTCACTGGTAAGGAGTACAGCATTTCTTTTTTGGTGGGAACACTGCTCTAAAATTAGATGATGTGTACGGTAAAAATGATCACAATGTATGCATGTATACCAATAAAACCCATTCATCTGTATAAATAACAGACTGAAAAGATAAAATAAAATTAGTGGTGATGGTAGACAACTTTGAAATATAATAAAAACTATAGAATTGCACGTTAAAAAGAATAACTTTTATGTGTTGTGAATTATATTTGAGTAGAGCTGTTATTTATAAACATGAATTTGTTCATAAGTATGTGATTATTGAATAATATTTGAAGGCAATGTCTAAATGAAAATGTAAAACCAGTAGCCTGCATGTAATATTACAGTGTTTCATTGTAGATGCCTCATTTTCAGAGGAACATTGGTAGAGCATTCCTAGAGGTAATGCAGCTGATAAAGGAACAGATCTCATGAGGAATAATTTAAAGCAAAAGTTAATGTTTATAGAAGAAATACATAGTCAGGGGACATGAGTGTTCTTCAACTACCTGAAAATCAACTATGTTTTAAGAAAAGGAGTAGTCTGGGGCCAGGGATAGGCTCAGTGGTGCAGTGCCTGCATGCCAAGCACAAAGGTCCTGAGGTCGATTCCCTTTACACACACACACACACACACACACACACACACACACACACGAATAGTATTAGCCTACCATTATGTTTCCCAAATTAAGAATTTAAGCCATGGATTGAAACTATATTTGTACAACATGAGAAGTGGGCTGCCTTGTTTTTCTGAGGATGTGTTTGTTTCCCTTTAATTCCTAAAAGGATGTATTAATAGATGTAGAATCTGTGTTTGGCAGCAGTTGGGAAATCGGACTGCCCAGATCGTGTTCTGCACTACTGTATCTCCTGTTTCCTTGATGCTTCTGTTTTGCCCCTTTTGGATCTTTAAAAAACTCAGCCAGGTAGGTAGGACAACAGCCCGTGCATGTGTGTGTGTGTGTGTGTGTGTGTGTGTGTGTGTGTGTGGTGTGTATGAATCCGCAGCACTTCTTAACACAATTGTGCAGGGTACTTTAGAGACCTTGAGGACTGAAGGTGAGGAGGCATTTCAAGAGGGCCAGCTCAGGTCAGTCATGGGGTCGCGGAGACCCCTTTGAAACGCAGTCAGGTTTGGTTCAGGATTGGTTTTTACAGATGAACGATTTATGAAACCGCGAAATGAATGGCTGTGAAACCGTCAACAGAAAAGGCCATAAATAAGGGCAGATGAAAGGCAGAACACTTGGGTGGCCAGCAGGGCACCCAGCAGGTTAAGAGGCACGTTTAGAAAGGGAAATTCCTGGGTAAGGATGGATTCCCCACCAGCAAATTGAGCCAGCCAGGAGCCTGAAGCAGAGGTGCGGGAGTGTTGTCACCCGCGCTTCCGTCCCCACGCGATGGGAACTAAAGGAGGAGAGATGAGACTCAAGGCCGAAGTTGGCCTTCGGGTTGGCTGGCCGGCTGTCCTGGGGGAGTTTTTGGGAGAAGGCTGCCTGTGTGCGTGGGCGAGTGTTTCTGGAGGATCTTCCAGTGCAAGGTCAGCACGGTGCTCCAGACCAGCCAGCCCTCCAACTCCCACTTCACCTGTAGGACTTCTGCAGCAGGATCCCTGGAGGCCACACCTTCCAATCAGGCCTGGCCTGGGGCTGTGCCGGTGAGCCAGGGGTGGAGCCAGGGCTATCCCCTGGGGCCGGACCTTTTGAGCAGGGCTCTTGCCGCAGAATCCTCCCCTTGGCTGAAGCGGCATGGGCGTGGCTAGGGGCAGTGGGCGGGGATATTGTCAGGACCCGGGAGCTAGGCGGCTCCCGGAAGGGGGCGGGGCTAGACTGCGGGCAGTCGCCAGTGGAGGCTGAGGGGGCGCTGTACTGACCGCCCCGCCGCCGGTCCAGGGCGGGAGACGGAGCAAAGGCGGTGGCTGCTGCAGAGGCAGGAGCTCTGCGGGGGTGGGAGCGGGGCCGGGGGCGGGGGCGGGGAGCCGGCGGGCGGGGCTCCGGGCGGCTGGGGGCGCTCGGGGACACGCGTCCCGCGTCTTCTAGGCTCCCGCGCCTGCGGGTCGCCCGGTCTGGGGGCCGGCGGCGATCGGGGTTTATGGCGGCGTCCGCGGCTCTGTCGGCGGCGGCGGCGGCGGCGGCGGCCCTGTCGGGCCTGGCGGTGCGACTGTCGCGCTCGGCGGCGGTGCGCGGCTCCTATGGCGCCTTCTGCAAAGGACTCACGCGCACGCTGCTCACCTTCTTCGACCTGGCCTGGCGGCTGCGCTCCAACTTCCCCTACTTCTACGTGGTGGCCTCGGTGATGCTCAACGTGCGTCTGCAGGTGCGGATCGAGTGAGCGCCGCGACGGTGGCGCTGGCGGTGGCGGTGGCTGCGGCGGCCGGGCCGGCGGGAGGGAGACTCGCCTGCCCCACCGCAAAGGGCCGGGATGCTGCAGGAAGGACGGCGGGGCCGCCCTGGACACCAGTAAGCGGCGGGGGACGGAGGCGGCACAGCCCGAGGCCTTTGCCCTGGACCTCCCCGGTGGGGCGACGGCTACGCAGCCTCAACATCCAGGCTCGTACTCCACCCGCGCCGCCTGCAGGAACCCACGCAAAGACTCCTTGCTGGTGGGCTCGCGAAAATTGTTCGGGTCCAACTGACTTGTTGCCTCACAGCGGCCGAAGGAGGTAACCGGGAAGGACGAGTTCTGCTGCAGCAGCTTAATTTTCCAGGCCCTGCACTGAAAGGTAGGAGGCCACAGTTTCGAATGAGAGCTGGGCGATGTCCGCTGACTTGACCTCTAGACCTTGAGGCTGCCTGATAATTTGGGAGAAATAGGAACTTAAGTCCAAGAGAGCAGCCCCAAAAGCTTCCCAGCTGAGCTTCGGAAGACATAGGCAGGCACCTCTCTGCTCCCCTGTTGTGAGTCCACCATGGGCATCGCAGAGGGTCAGGCCATGGCCAACAGAGAAACAAGAGCCCCGTCTGCCAGTCACACCCTCTTACTCAGAGGTCTGGGTGATGTCACCTGAACCCTTGGCAATAAGGAAGAACAGGCCAAAAAACTCCAGGGAAGGACTGGGGAGAATAGAGGTGCCCACCCTTCCCCTGTTCCTCTGAGGCCAGATGGAGAATACTGCTTCTCTTTGCAGCTGAACCCTGTTGGCATCTGCTGCTCAGTCCTGAGGTCCCTGGACCTCACTACAGCTGTCCACAGCCCTTCCCCAACCTGTCTCCTGCCTTGCATTTGAGGACAGGGGACTGGCCTCTCCTGCACCTGTTGTACCCCTTGTACCAGTAGCCACACCTGAGTACAACTTGGAGCCAGAAAAGAGTGGAAAAGTTGTTACTGGCTGTTCCCTACCCCTGGGCTTGCTCCTTGGCCCTGTCAGCCCAAGGTCCCTTTAGGGGCTACCACTGCCCTCCCAGGCACACAGAAGCCCGTTCTCTAGCCATGGACAGTCCAGGGAGCTCACTGTACACCCAGAGGATTTGAGCCAGTGGGAGGAGGCCTCTGAGCCGGCAGTATTGCCCAGACAGTTGGGGAAGGTTGCAGAGGAGGCCACAAGGAGGACAAGACCGTTCTTGGTTATCCGGCAGCTCTAAAGTCTCCTCTTTCTTTGTTTTTCAGACCCTGGTATTTATGGATGGTTTCCTGCTTCTTTGAACTTATCAGGAGTGACATTGCTGGTCCAACAGCTGCCTGGGGAGCAGCAGAGTGAAGGACTTGCCCAGGAGAGGCCTTTCTGACAGAGAACCCACATGGGCCAGGCTCAGAGGAGTGGGGTGCACTGGGCCAGGAAATCTCCTAGCAACACTGTGAGGGAGGTACATTCTCCCACCTAATGAGCCAAATTGGGCTCCCGGAAGGGGCTGTGATTGGATCTTGTCACATAGACAGGAGGGGATGGAAGGTGAGCTGGCCCCTGCACTGGAACTTGCCTAGGCCTTCTGTAGGCTTCTTCCAGACCAGACAGTGAAGGGAGGGAGCACAGAGCTCCAGGGTACCAAGAGAGAGGGGCACAGGGGTAGAGAATCAGGGGATCTGGCTTTCCTTGAATAGAAATCAGAGGTCACCAGAAATACAGAACAGCAAACTGAAGAGGACAAGAGGTGGTACTTGTCCCAGGACTTACAGGGGAGCCAAGTCCTCCCCACAGAACCTACCCTCCCTACCCTACCTGAGCTTGTCCAGAGGCCCCTCTGCAGTTGTGTGACACAAGCCGCCTAGTTTGGTGGTAGAGTGTGAATGATGGTGGCCATGTGGCTCTGGGGACTTGAAGTGACCAGGATGGTAACGAGATAAACCTGGGCTCAGATAGGGCTGAGACCCATGGCATGACTCCATCTCTGGCCCCAGATTTATACCCCCATCCCTAGGATCACATGGGATAAATCACATCCCCATGGATGGGATTGGGCCTGGAGAGGAACTGGGGTCCCAGAGGAGCCAGGTGCTTCGAGAGGAGACTGAATTGTCCAGGAGCCGCCCAAGGAGCACCCTTTCGCATTCCTATCCATTCAGCTCCCTTGGCAGTGGGAGCCTGAGGCCCACGCACTCCTCAGTTCCTGGCAATGAAACCTGCAGCAATCTGGCTGCCCAGGGACAAAGTGGCCCAGCCTCCTACCATCTCCCCTCAGCTTCCCATTGGAGCTTAGGTCCTGGATGAAGACCTTGGTCTGCCTCACGCTAAATACAAAAACTGGAAGGCAGCAGTCACTTGCTCCCTGAGGTTTGCCATAGCCTGGACCTGATGACTTTCTTCCCTGTGCCACATCTCCCCAGGTCCTGTTGCAACAGATCCTGTTGTTCTCTCTCCTTCCCCACTCCTGTCTCCCCAGAACCCCCTGTGGTGATCTTTCAGCCTCTGTCCCCCAGGCACAGGTGCTCTCTGGGAGCCACATATGAGAGGCAGGAGCCACACAGGGCTGGAGAAGGAGAAAGCAGGAGCTGGAGCCTGCTAGGGTCTGCTACCCAGATGTGGCCCTTTCCAACGCAGCTCCCACCCTGAGTGACAGGAGTACCAGCTCTAGCCTCTTCTTGGGCCAACCTGAAGGAAAAAGGAGGTGCCTTCCCTGAGCGTGCACATTTGGGTGTGTGCATGTGGATATGTGTGCACATGGGAGCACATGTGTGTGCACATGGGAGCAGCGTGGGCATGCAGATGTTTTTGAGAGAGGGGAGCTGATGAGCAGGAGTAGCCACTTCAGGTTCCCAGCACCCCCTGTGCCAGAGGCTGGCCTGGGCCTTAGAGGCAGGAAGCGGCATGCAGCTTCCAGACCCCACCCTCAGCGGCCAATGCTGGAGGCTCCACACCTGCCCAGAGCCCTTCCGTGGCCTCTGGTTGTCTGTGTCCAAAGAGGTCCTCAAGGAGAGGTCAGGGAGTAGGCTTCAGCCTTGTGTTCCTGGCACTGGCCTGGCCTTGAGTAGTCGGCAAACTGCTTCTCAGCCTCCCCTCTGGCTCTGCTTTCTCTCCCCGTGGGCCCCTTGCTGTGTGATGGGGCCTCGATGCACTTTATTTATTTGCAGTCTGTTCCAGGCGATACAACTTCTACAGATGTAGACACGGCCTTGATGACTCCATTACTGTGTGATTAATTCTGCACTGGCCACCACTGCCTTTCAGAACCTTGTCTTATTTCTGGTGTTGTCACATCTTGTCTCCCCAACTGAAAAAAAAAAAGTCCTTGAGTTCAATACACTGCAATTCTGACTGGAGGCCTCCTTTTTCTGCTGGGTGTGACGGCGGAACTTCAGGGGAGGGAGGAGTCACGCTCTGGGCCCTTGAGCTGAGGGACCTCTGAGAGCCTGGCATTGGCATGCAGGCAACCTGCTCAGAAGCCCTGTCTGGTCCCCACTTGTAGGATCCCTGCCCCCACCTAAGCAGGCAGCAGCAGAGCCTGACCCAGGACAGGGGAGTTGCTCCTGTTCCCGTCCTTGGTCAAACCTGAAGCAAGTCTGTTTGTCCATCTAAGAGCTGAGTATTGAAAGCACTCAGTGCAGGTGAACCTTGAGGATAAAGGGAAATGAATCTGCCTTCCTGCAGGTCACTTTGTGTGCAGCCCAGAGTCACCTCTGGAGCAGCAGGTGATAAAGTCACCACTGCCTCCCTGTGGGCAGGTTGCTGGGAACACTTGGAGGAGACCAGCCACCCACCAGGCCAGGAACCTGGAAGCCCACTTCCCTCCCCTACCTTAGACCCAAATTTCTACTGGCTCCTCAGAGAAGCCAGAGACCAAGGGCTGAGGGGAGCTGATGGCTGGCAAGAGGGCTGAAAGCTGGGGAACAGGGTTGAGCAGGAGGCTGGGAGCAGAGGTAGAGGCTGGGGTGGGGGTGGGGTGCAGGCCAGGAGGCTGAGGGCAGCGCTGGGGAGGGGAAAGCTGAGCAGGTGGAAGGAAGGCTTGCAGGGCCCCAGGAGGGAGGTATCCCGGGCACACAGCATTATGCTCACACTGAAGAGCACAGCCTGGGGTTAGATGCCCTGATTGTACTCCATTGTCTGTCGCCGAAGAATCCCCCAGCATCCTGAGAAATACAACCCTCCCAGCAGCGCTGCTGTGGGTGCTGTGTGGCATCTTCCACCACTGGAGGGACACACCCAGGTTCCTGAGCTTTGCTAGACTCCTCAGCATCACCCTGTCCAATCCCTGATGGCCCCGTCTCCACTGAGATCATCTTGTCCAGCAGAGCACAAAGGACAGGTTCACAGGTATGGGGACAAGAGGACCAGCTCCAGGAGGTGTAGGCATGCAGTGGTGAAGGAAAACACTCAGGCAGGAGACCCTGAGCCCAGCTCTTTTACTTCTGCAGAGCTCTCATTTGCCACACACAACCCCTTGACATTAGGAAAGACCCTATGGGTGCTCATGGAAGTTCAATGTATGAAATGTGCCAAACATTTGTCACCAGGCCTCACTTGGAGCAGCCTTGTTGAAGTGGGGAAATAGCTAAGTGAAGGAACCCGACTCGCTGGTGCATGCCTATAATCCCAGCACCTGGGAGGCTGAGGCAGGAGGATCATTGTGAACCTCCTGGGAGGGTGCAGTGTGTGCCACGCACTGTGCTGGGAGCATTGGGCTGCTACTCTCAGCAGAGACCCACACTCATCGATCCCTTGGTCCACATCACAGTGAAGCCGAGGGTGGCAGCATAGTCTGAAACACATCCCTGAGCAGAAGCTCTTTTAGGAATTCCTCTGCCCTGGAGGACCAGGCAATTGGACTGGAAGGATGGTGCAGTGGCAAAGGCAGAAGATGACCCTGTCCTTTCTTGTTCAATCCAGGAGATGGATAGGAAATCTCGGCTCCGTGGAGAAGGTCTGGGAACTTCTCCAATGCAGCTCCCCACTGGGAGGAGCTAGGACAGTGCCAAGATGGGCCACCTACCTCCTCCTGTCCACCCCACCTCCAGAGATGGGTTGAATCTAAACAACTGAGTCAGGAGACAGCAAGAGAGCAGGAAGTGGGCAGTTTCTGTGGTAGTAAGAGCCAAAACATGCCAAGTCACATCCATTTCTACCCCACACTGGGGCTAAG